TTTTTGAGGTTTCATTCTGTCATCCAGGTTGGAGTGAGCGCAGTGGTGAGATCTCAGCTCACTACAACCTCCACCTCCTGGGTTCAAGTGATTCTCCTGCCTCAGTCTCCCCAGTAGCTGGGATCATCCTTTTCTTTTCTCACTTCATCCAGCACAATTAAGAGCAACCAGCCAAAATTATACTGATTAAGTTGATTTAAATGTTCTAAGGTACCAAATATCTGATTGTTTTGAATCTTATTGTTGTCTATAAGCATGAGTGGGAGTATCCAATAGTGATCTTTTGCATATCTCTATTACCATATCACACCATGGACTATCAGAGTCCTCTTTTCCACTGGGAATACTCATTATTGCCTTTAAATCTGATTGGGTTAGAAAATCAATTCCAGAAACACTATAATCAATTCAGAAAACTCATCCTTAAGATTCCGCTAACTAGAACCACTCTCAGCACCCAAATTTTTGAATCAGTCAGGGCTCTCCAGAGCCTGATAGGCTCTCTAGAACTGATAGGAAAAAAAACATAGATGTAGATAAAAACATAAATATCTACATCTACATATAGACAGATATTGAGATATTGGTATTTTAAGGAACTGGCTCACACAATTGTGGAAGCTAGAAACTTCAAAATGTGTAGGGTAGATCTACAGACAGTAAACTCAGGCAGGAATTGATGCTGTAGCCTTGAGGAAAATACTGTCTTCTTCAGGACACCTCAGTTTTGGCTCTTTCAGCCTTCAATTGATTGAATGAGGCCCACCCGCATTATTTAGGGTAGTATTCTTTAGTTCAGGTCAACTGATTATAGATATTAACCACATCTTCAGAATATCATCACAGCTTCACGCAGATTAGTATTTGATTAAATAACTACGTAAACTGACATAAAACTAATCATCACACACAGCACACTTCTGGACTTCTCAACAAAATCTTATTTTCAACTGAAAGAACAACCTTTAAACAAGAATATTTTATTTGCTCCAGAAAGACAATGAAATTTCAGTAGGAATACTCTCCTGAGTGGAACAGATAAGTCCTTCCTCCAAAACTATTTAGAGAAACAAAGTTTCCACGAACCACCTCTCTTGCCTGCCTTCATGTTACATTATCTTAGGAAGCTATAACATTGTATCTACACTTTCAAAACAATCTTTATGTTTCAAAAGTATTATCTTCAACTCTACAACAGAAATCACACTTTAAAATTATACCTCTAGGCCAGGCGCGGTGGCTCAAGCCTGTAATTCCAGCACTTTGGGAGGCCGGGGCAGGTGGATCAAGAGGTCAAG